AAAATTGGTTTTTAAAGTCAACTCCTTATCGCGTAAATCAAAGATAATCTATGTAGTTATCTCGAGTTATGTATACCGTACTCGAATTTTGTAGTTATAACATTAGTGAAAATAAAGTAATTCGTTTTTCAATAAACGTAGGTAATACATGTCCTAGTTTGACAATGTAAGACCCCAGCACATCAAACTGCTATCGGTCAATTATGTTTAATAGTCTATAATCGTCTTCACTTTTAATTGAATGAAGAAATGAGTCAGTGGCTTGTGTTGGGTGTTGATAGCGTGTGTGCTACGAGGCCTACGAGACCTTAGTGCTACGCCACCCGTAGCTCTCGTAGCCGCAGCCGTAGCAGAAACCAGTGTTGAAGTAATTTAAATTCTACAACCTAACGATTATCAAAACTACTGCTACTTGCTGTGAGATAATAATGATGACGTCACCTCTTGTAAGTTCTAAACAGAATCGAATTAAATACTAAGTTCCAAACAGAATTTAATTAAATATTGATTATTATCTGATTAATACTACCTCGTTGGCCGAGTGGTCGGAAGTGCGACTGCCGGAGTCTCGAGTTCGATTCCCGGGTCGGACAAAGTATTACTGGGTTTTTAAAAATCTCAGTAGTAGCACGGAGTCTGGAAATGTGCCCGGTAGATGACAATGGGCTCACTCCCTATTACATTGGGTTCATAACATAAATAGTGTAAAGTGGGTGTTACATTAAGTGCCGTAATGTGCACGTTTGCCTACCCCTTCGGGGATAATAAGGCGTAATATTCTGATGATGATGATTATCTGATTTATGATTTGTAAAAATGGAGAGTTATGTTTTTAACAATATTTTAATTTTACTATCCACATGAAACAACAACACCCACTCAAACTCCAACACAAAAAAAGCTAGTTATTTCAATAAATACAAAGTCAAAGTTTAAACAAATATGAATCACAAAGAAAGCCCATACGTTACCTCAACGTACAAATATGTTTCGAGCGTACTAACAGTTGTTATGTAAACATATTTCCTACAACATTATGAAACGGAATCCTTCGAGCTTCATATATTGTTTGAAAAACAAGAAACATTGTACTAAACGTACGCTCCTGTTTCACAGAAATACCAGTTAAAATCGTATTAACATGAAGGAAACTGCTCCAATAATAAATACTGGCTGGCAGATGTACTGAATGACAAACGATGTATGACTACTTGAATTTATTTTAATGAGCGTAAGAATAAGAATATTTTTTTACACAAACAAACATAAATTAATACCAATGACATTGACAGGCCACTGATGAACCACGTGGCTCCTACAAAGTAATTGTTGCTGGCCAGCGGGTTGAAGGTCGCCGTGCAATTTATTTTATTAAGTATGGGAGAGCCATGCTTCGGCACGAATGGACCGGCTCGACCGGAGTGATACCACGGCCTCACAGCAAACGGACGTGAAGCAACGCTTGCGTTGTGTTTCGTCGAGTGAGGGAGGTTACCGGAGGCACAATTATCCTCCCCTTCCCCAGTCTCCCCAATCCCTGAATCCCCAACGATCCTCAAACCCCTAATCCCCAAAAGGCCGGTAACGCACTTGTAACGCCTCTGGTGTTCCAGGTGTCCATGGGCGACGCCGATTGCTTACCATCAGGTGATCCGTCTGCTCGTACCGGCTTATGCAATAAAAAAAATTGATAAGGTTTATCTGTTGGCACTGTTGCTTGCGTCAAACATAATATGGTTCCTTAGTTGGATCCTCAAACACCCGCGGGGTGATTAGGGGTGCTTTCTTCATTGCCGTCTTCTTGAAATCTATTGAATTAGTAATTATTCATAATAGTACGTTTTTCATTCTCTTCAGATAACGCTACTCATTAAACTGCTCAATACAATGAGATAAGTGTTCTCATGTTCAATGAGGGCTTTCGATTTGGCTTCCGAGGTGGCGCTAGTGATCTAAGGCCTTATATATCCAATCAGCCTCGCGTTCACAAGTTTTTAGACTAATACCATTAAAAATACATATTCTATGGGTAATATGCTATACTAGCGCTTGTTGTAGCACCTCTGATCACCCTCATTAGTGGATTCAGCCAAAATCCTTAACCTCAAAATGCTCCATTCAAGTAATGAACCGTTAGTAAAAATTTCTTTCCTATTTCATTTCGAAAAATATTACTATTGACTAGATTGCTACTGTGCTACGTCCGGCCTGTCGTTATGTACGGTTGTAAAACATAGATTACACCGTTAGACGCATAAAGGCGTTTGAAATGTGGTGTTACCGTCGGATGTGGCGCATAAGTTGGCGATATCATCCTCCAGCTCCAGGTCAGCTCTAGCGCGACCACATGCCACGCAAAATGATCCAAACCATCAAAACATGACATACTGAGATATGATGTATACATGATTTTCAGCTTCAGCTTCATCTTATAACGATGGATAAGGTGGAAAAGGGAGGACAAGCGCTGGGCGAAATAAAAAGTCGTGGCTGCGCAGTAATTGGGAGTGGACCAGTATCAGCTCTGTGGAACAACTTTTCCGTCTCGCCAATGATAAGGACTAATCCAGAAAGCTGTCAGCCAACCTTTAGGAATGAAGTGGCACCATAAGAAGTAGAAGAAGATTGGTATTTAAATTTTTGGTAGATAGCCTACATGCATTGCCTCTTCAAAATAACGGAAATACATATAGCAACGATGAAATCCGCAAACGAACAAAGGTCGCCGACATAGCCTTAGCGGATTAGCAAGTTGAAGTGGCAGTGGGCAGGGCACATAGCGCGGAGAACCGGCGGCCGCTGGGGCAGAAAGGTTCTCGAGTGGAGGCCACGTACCGGCAAGCGCAGCGAAGGACGTGGACGAGGTGGACAGACTCATTAAGGTCGCAGGGAGCCGCTGGATGCAGGTCGCTTCCAACCGGCCTATCTGGAAGTCATTGGGGGAGGCTTATGTTCAGCAGTGGACGTCCTGTGGCTGATATGATGACATATAGCAAATATAAATCGATTTAAAATAAACTTCAAATAATTTGAAAAACAAGAAGTTTGAAGTAATTAGCAGCGTGGAAGATTTATGGTAGTGTTGTGGTTCAACGAACGACATTGAAGGATATCACTGCAAGCGCCGCCCGCCACTCTGTGAGGCGATTGCCAATTTCTTTGACTCAATTTATGTCTGAACCTGTCTCTTGACCGGAGCATTAACCTATTTGGCATTTGAACGAGTTACCTTGTTTTTAGAGAACTTCAAAGAGCCCCTTAAGGTACCTATACCAATCGGTATTTTTCGTTTTCAATGTAAGATGCAATTAATTACCGCGCTTAAGATTTGAAGGGCTATGCTGATAGTTATTGCATACTTTAAATGTTACATCCAGTTTTTTTGGTTCAATAAGTGATTCAACTAAACATAAACATACCAATTTTAAATATAAGCTATGTTGATAGCAAGTAATAGCAATCATACTGCAAGAGACTTAATTACCATTCCACTTGTTCCACTAATTGAGGAAAAGCGCACGTAAATGAAATGTCAATTTTCAATTGTCCCACTAATAAATAATTAAACTTTTCTTCCTCGGCTTATGTTTTTGAACTGAAAATTCACGTTAATTTTGGATGGATTTTATTGGTATTTTATGAACAAGCTAATATATTGCGAAAGTGAATTCGTACGTAATATTTTCGCAAACGAGCCGTGACCTCGAGTGCAGGGCCGCGGGAAAATAGAATCCGGATGTAACATAAAACAACTGTCGTGTAGACGTAGGTATTTGTTCCCATCTAAATTTTAATGCTTGTATTTTTTAACATCTTATAGTATTATTTTTTTAATATCTTCAGTCACTTAATAGGTTTTTGACACGAAGATAAATGACTAACAAACGTTAGTTTTTGTGGTGAAACTTTATATTTTTTCAGCCTCCTTATATTAAGGGAAAACCATTAAATAAACATTAATTTAAGATAGTTGCGAGTTCTGCGAAATTAAGATTATGAGGTACCTATTATTACCTTACATGCTGACTGAAGGCTATCGGGATACATTTCCGAAGGTTATACGCCGGGGTCGTGCGGTCCATGGCCCTCCACGGTGCCCCTGTGGGGGCGCCGAACCTGATGCGGCGGCCCGCTCGGGCGCACATCACATGCTTACATCACAGAGGGTCATGGCGATCGAATTGATCCGCGGATACCGCACGATTTTCGGGGAGGCGGCGAACCGCCGAGGGATCTGGAGGCGAAGGTGCTCGCGCACGTGTTTTGTGTGCGCGCGGAGGCACGTCGCCGGGGATAAACTCCGCTGCCGCGCCAGATTAGTGCGTGGCGGGATGAGCTCCGGCGCGATCTCATGGCGGAATGGCAGTAACGGCTGTCGCAACTGAAGGCTGGGCTCGCTGCCATTGCACCTTTAAGTCCCCTCTTTGATGAGTGGCTTGAGAGACGCTAGTAGCCGTAGCGTCTCTCAAACCACTCATGGTCCCAATCTGTGGTGTTCTGATGGCTCCTTGAAGCACGGTGAAACGCAAATGGCGGCGAACTATCCTTGCCCGCCGTCCACAGACCCACACTTACGGTGGCCGGAGAACGTCGCGCGGTCCCCTAAGTTAGACTTCGTGCTACTGCGAGAATTTCCCGGAAAAACTATATAGTACTTGCCTAATATTCTCAAAAACTAACTTGTACTGCACTTTCATTAGAAGGTGGGAAATAATCATAATTTTTTCCGATCCGATGTGATTCGTAATATGCGTATTCTATCTCTTAGTGCTTACTGATTTCCTACACTTCCAATGGCCAGCTTGCCAAATCTCAGATTTTACGACCTAGTCTCGGCTGTGCGTTATCTGTCAATCACTCAGTAACTCTACAATCTTAATAAATAAAAATGAATCGTAAAAATGTGTTACTAAGTGCAAAATTCGATTGCCAAAATATTCATGTAAATCTTATATGTTTGGTAATAATAATTAAATAAATGTTCCATGTTTCTTTTCCAGCTCTTACAGTCCGGTTCTTGACGAAGAGGTACATCGGCGAGTACGACCATCAACAAGGTGACTTTTACTAATTATACTAGCTACTGCCCGCGACGTCGTACGCGCAATCCCGTACTTTCCCGTTCCCGTTCGCGATTTTCGGTGAAAAGTAAAAAAAAATCAATGAAAAAGTATCCTATGTCCGTCTCCTGGTTCTAATCTACTACGCTACCAATTTTCATCCAAATCGATGTAGCCGTTCTTGAGTTATAAATAGTGTAACTAACACGACTTTCTTTTATATGAGAGTGTGCTGCATCGGAAACTTTGGTTTGAATATAGATTATTTTAGTATTTTTGATGAGGAAAAAATAGTGTTACTGCAATTTGTTTCATTTTCTGCTTACCTCGTAAATGCCGCCGCCCACAAGTGTGCTGTTAAGTAAACAACGGGTCTTGGATTCGATTCCCAGATCGAAGAGTTAAAAACAATATTTCACTAAGATAATGTTATCTTACTATAATGTTAAAGTTAGTGAGTTTGTGTGTATATTTGTTACACAATCATGTCATAACGGCTGAACGGTGCGGAATGAAACTCGGAATAGTGATAGATTACCTATGACCTTGGAATAGGATAGGATACTTACATTTTACATACTTATTACACTACGGGAACGTCGGCGAAGCCCGACTCACAAACTTGCATTATAATATTAGTAAGATTGAGTAAGAGGGAATACTAAGATGAATACGACTAAACACTTCACGCCTTTAATCCCCGAAGAGGTAGGCAGAGTTGTCCATTACGGCACTTAATGCCACTGCGCAATGCAACACCCACTTTTCACTATTTATAAGTCCCAGGTAATGGGGGTGAGTCTATTGTCATATACTGGGCACAATTCTGGATTCCGTGCTGCTATTGAGAGTTAAAAGAAAAAATTGAAATTCTTTGCCTTATCTGGGGATCGAACCCAAGACCCCTCGCCCGGTAATTCGCACTTGCGACCACTCGGCCAACGAGGCAGTCAAATATACGACCAAATTAATATGTTATTCTCATTGCAGATAGCAAATACAAGCATGAAGCTTTGTTGGACGGCGAGCCGATATTGTTCGAAATTCTGGACACGTGCCCTAAGGTAACCGACCTATTATCATTGTCATTGTCGACCGAAACAAAAATAGCCAATCAAGCGAATAGAAAAGTCTACTTTTATATACCTACATACAGCGGCAAACGAGCAGACGGATCACCTGATTGTAAGCAATCGACGTCACCCGTGAACACCCGTAACACCAGACGAGTCTCATGTGCCTGAGAAATTGATGATTTTGAAATTGGGGATTTGGGCATTCCAGTCGATTTCGGGAGGCTGTTATCTGTGTCACTACGGTATTCATGCCGAAGCATATAAAATGTATGGAATTGAGACTGTCTTTTGACAAATTATATAAAAATATTATGTGAAACAAGTGAATTTATTTCTGCAAATAGGATATAAGGCAGCACGTCAACTTTTTTTAAAAGTACTAGAAGTAGCCGACTTTTCTTAAGACCTTATTCACAAAGGGCGAATTCGCTGCAATACGATTCGCGCGAAATGATTCGCGCGTTTGTGAGGTACTAGACACCAGTGGCGTGCACAGGGTTTTAGAACAGGGTAGGCAACATAATATTGTATTATGATTAAACTCATCGTAAATACATAACATAATTCAACTTATGAAGTTTTTAATCTTTCGTCAATTCTTTGTAACAGTGCCATCTCTCGTTGTTTTCGTGAAGTATTACATCAACTTATTGATTACTCTAACAACTTAAAAACATTAATATTCTATTTTTCTCTTTAGATTTGTAAAACTAATCTGCATAATTACCTACTCGAGGTGCTGTATAACGATTAATCTAATTTATGTTACCTATCAATTCAGTAGCAGTAACGAATTGTTCATTGTAAAAATTGTACTGAACTGGCGGCCTGTCCAGCCTTCTCACGTTTAATACAAGAATATTACGAATTCTTTACTATTTTAATTTAATTCTTCGAATTAATAAGTTTGGTTCATCTATTCAAGAGATATTATGATTTTAAGAACTTGGGTATGACTAATAGAAAAATCGAACCGAGCGCGGCCGGCTGCGGCCGAGCCGAGTAAGCGGTAGTACATTTTTTAGTATTATTAAACATTCATTTACCTAGCTTATTCTTCTTCATTTCATTTTATAATTAGTACATAACATATTACTTAAAGCTTCGTTATTTTTACTGACTGAGTTGCCGCGACGGGAAGCTCCGCGTAGGTACCTACTTATGTTACATAACCTAATCACATTAAAATAAAGTAACTTTCATAGAACTTACCAAGACAAGACTATCAGAAGAAAAACTCACACACAATCTAATCACTAAGCGATGGTCTGCGATAGTTTATAATTCTTTACCAACTTTTGTCAATACAAACTTCACAGTTCTTCGTATAACTTTGCAAAATCAATTAACAAATAAACAAACACAGTAATAAAATGTACTTATATAAATAGACAATTTTATACCGTTTACTACAAATTATTTGCGTAGAATTACTAATCGTATTCTAAATCAAATAACAAAATTATCCGAAAATCCACGCATCGCACGTAAACAAAAACAAAAAAATTGTCACGCGCGAGCGGCGTGAAGTTCGCTGCGAGGCGACCAATGAGTAAACCAAGACACGGAACGTGATTGGTCGGCACGCGGCGAACTCAATCACGAGTCGTCAGGCCGTGCCTGCAGGCAAGCTTCGCGACGATAAAATAAACGCGTCTGTGCACTACGCACACAATGACGTTCACCACTACACGCTTAAATTTATGAATGGTTTGCAGGCGACGGAACCGCGTGCCTGCCTCGCGCGTTAATGTTTACAGCTATATACGGTACGCCTGGCGAAATGCAACACGTATCGCGCGCCATCATTGTTGCTATACTATTTATTTTAGGCGTTCACTAATTTTATTATAATTATTATTTTAGTATTCTGTAGTAAAATTAAAATGTTTATATCTTTTATTACGTAGTGTTATTCACGGTATTTGTAAGGTAGGCAAAGCCTTTTTGCCTATATGGACTGCACGCCACTGCTAGACACCAATACATCGCGTCCACAAGCATAGCGTGAATTGAAAATACACGCATAAATCGCGTGCACTACGTTAGACTCTCGACTCGCGTTTGATATACCAGGGACATCTTGTTGCATCCAGTTAACGCGCGAACTTAAGAGCGAGCGTTCAACTCCATGTTTCGTACTGACTGAAATCCTTCTCAAATGCTCGGGTTCGTGCTCGTACGTACGAATACGACGACGTACGAATTCGCCCTTTCTGGACAAGCTCTAACCTAACTGACTACTCTGAAAAGAAAAACCGAAACAAAATTAGAGGTCCGTTTCTTTCTGAGTCCAGACAAATACATATTATATATAAAAGATTATGTATCAATATTGCGTAGCGTAGCGTTCGTCGAGGGAGATTTACTAATATTGTAGCCATATCAGTTATTTCTTGCGTTCTTTAACAGAAAGAAAAATGAAAACTCAATTCGAACCGAAAAAGGAAATATAAAAAAAAAATATATAGTTTCGTATTCAGATTAATAGTTCCTGTACCTAAGAAAAATATATATGAAATTCATAAAAACTGACAACATTCGTGTCGTCTATCACGCTAAACGGCAGCGTGTTCATACAATAATTAATTAATTGATACAAATAATTCGTTTGCCAACACGTATTTGTCATAGTTACGATTAGTAGAGCGGTCGTGACACGAGCAGTGAGCCGGTATTCCGTCTTATGACGCATCATCTTGGCACCATACCCCGGTAGTTGGACACTGTTATAATATGTTTTGTAACTAAATTATGTTTTTTATACAACAACCTTGAACATAATTAAACAAAAAATAGTCTTATCCTTTTGCCGTAAAGTTGAAATTCTACCAGTACCTAACAGTGTCAATTTAGGGTAGTAACTTGATGTGCTGTTGTTTAAGCTTAAACATTTTACAACAGCTGTAAAAGTCGTTCTTTAGTTTAATTGCAACATTTGTGCTCGTACGAATTTGTGTTATAATTTTGTAGTTAATTTCAGGTTAATATAATATTTTTTTGACTGCCTCATTGGCCGAGTGGTCGCAAGCGCGACTGCCGGGCAAGGGGTCTCGGGTTCGATTCCCGGTTCGGGCAACGTATTACTGGGTTTGTAAAAACCTCAGTAGTAGCACGGAGTCTCGAAATGTACCCGGTACATAGCAATAGGCTCACCCCCCCCCCCCTTCCTATCACATTGGACTCATAACATAAATAGTAAAAAGTTGTGTGAGTTTCACAATTCCAGACTCCGTGCTACTACTGAGAATTTAAAACCCAGTAACACTTTGTCCGATCCGGGAAATCGAACCCGAAACCCCTCGCTCGGCAGTCGCACTTGCGACCACTCGGCTAATGAGGCAGTCTAGTACTAATCTTGGCTATTGTACCTCTTATACAAAACGTTTCCATATTTATATTGTTTCAGAGTTTAGATGAGTTGCCAGGCAATGAGATAGCCCAGTGGGCGGATGGTCTGTTCCTGGTGTACTCGATCACAGACAGAGAATCCTTCAACTATGTCCGTCGAGCAAAGCAGAGCCTACAGCCAGAAATACCACTCGCACTAGTCGGCAATAAAGCCGATATGGTACACCTGAGACAGGTAAATTAAATTAATTAAACGCTCGAATATATCATCACCTTTCAATTTTCATTGCTGCCAATTGTTTTCATTACAAACTTTTAATTATTACATACTTCCTCTGTCCCGATAGAAGAATCTTGAGGTGTTCCGAACTGAACTATTATATGCGTGCAATCCACAATTGTTGATGCGGATCTAGGTGTGATATTGTATGTTTGTGTATTTAATTTATTTTTGTAAATGCACCAACGCCTCTTAAAGAAATCTTAGTCTTGGTACGATAGTCTTAAGGAATAAGGAAAGGAATTTATGTTGATGATTTATAAGGAAATCCCAAACTATATTTTGATATTAAGTATTACATACTTACCTCCAGTACCTGCTGAATAAACCTACATTAACCTACAATAACTATATTTTATACCCATATAGTTATGGCACTCCGTTTGTTTGTGTAAACGTAATAATAAGTTAACACATTTTAATCTATGTCTTCTGAAAATGGAAACTGACATTATTATCATAATACAATTATAAATACGATGCAACGGACAATTGAATCGTAATTCATCGAGTTTCGAATCGCGTCCATCACAAGGCATTCATTTGACTTAACTTTTTTATCTACAGGTACAAAATGTTTATCATGTAAACTGTTTTAATTTATTATTTTTTAAATATCTTAACGGTGCCCTGTCAATACATATATAAAAACTTAATGTATGTACGAAAAAATAGGCAACTGTTCGAAAAAAGAAACGTAGGATACAATCTGAATCATAGAGGCAAAAATAAGTTACCGCAATTCAAACTGTCCAAAGTACAGAAATCCTTCATGGGGTTATAATATGTGTTAAATGTTATAATAAAATACCAACAAGCATACTAGCTCTTAAAGAAAGCAAATTTAAAATGTATAATTATCTTGAAAATAAGAATGCTTGGAAGTGTGTTGGTTCGGCTCCACTGAACAATACTTAAATATAGTCAATACCTAGTTCAGATTCCAATAATAGGTAATTTGATACTTTGATTCCGATGAAGGCAATCTAATTTTCTTGTGGCATCGAGCATTTCTTTCTTTTTTGAAACAAGGAGTTTTTTTTCTTGTTTAGAAGCACTATTTTATAAGGATTGTCAGTATACATAATGTGAGCACCATGTTTGACCATAAGATATTTATTTTCTCTTATTTCTCTTTGTTTTAGTGAGTTCTGTTATTTTTATTATGCGTCAAGCGTGTCTTTACATTGTTCTCACTTACATGTACAATATTGGAATATGTATCAGAGACACTGTAAAACAGACTTTTATTAAAAGAGTAGCGAATGGAGTTATGGAGTTTCCTTCTCGTTCTTCTCCACTTGAATCTACAATTTGTCACTGACAGACAGAATGACTGCTAAATTGAGGTTTAGTTGAAATAAATGCTTTTAAGTTTGGTTACATATTATGGGTGCAATATTTATGCACCCAATTATGAGAGCCATTCGAAATACATGCAAAAGATTTGTTTATATGGTGTTTATGGTTTTAACTTAATGAAATTTAACTTTTCGCAGGTGAGTCCAGAAGAGGGCGAGATCCTTGCGAAGGACTTCGAGTGCAGTTTCGCTGAAGTAGCGGCCGCTGAACAAGTGAACCAAGTTGGGGAGGTATTCCACGAACTTTGTCGAGAGGTCTTAACACATAGGCGGAGAGCCAAACATAGTTTACTGGACAGAATGCTAGGCTCTAAAACAGCGTATAGGGTATATTCTAGAGGAAAAAGCGACAGTGCATTACCTAAAGACTAGCTGCATTTATCTGTCTCAAAGGCGAGAGAAGATTTATTAGAAGATCAACTCCTCTAGGACACCGATGTTCAGGGCTTTTTTGTGCCGTCTTGCTACAGGCAACCCTGACTGACCAGTATTCCGTTAAGTCAGAATACTAGGGATATAGGACTGCAACTAAGTTTAATAAAGATATCTCTTTAATAATTGTAACGAAGTTAATCGTGTATAAATTAAGTAGAAGTTTTAAATTGATGTGTGTAATAGAATGGTTGATTCGCGCGTTAGAAGAAATATTAATCGTAGTGCTCCTATAGAGAAGAATTTTTACGAATTGTATTATAGAACAGGTTATAAATAGTGCCAAAGTCTGTATTGTAATTTGTTTTCCGTAGCAATTTCACTAGGTTCTTCTAAGAGTATTATAGAAAAACATTACGTAAAAACAAATCAAGTAATCATTTGGACGAAAGTAGCAGGCCTAAACGGCACCAATGTGTATGAATCAGTGTTTATTGTCTTTTTAGTTGTTGTTTAATATATAGAGTTCACTTATTTGAGACAATATACAAGCATTATGTATAGGTAGAGTATCATTGATATCTTGAGGCCGTGCTGTCAAGAATTCCAAAATAGAAGGACTTCGTGAATTACAGACCTTGTTCGCAATCAACAATAGCGCGATGAAGCAATTATTATCGTCATATTAAATTCCAATAAGTTCTGCCTCTATTCATTTCGTTTTGCAGTATTTATCTTGAAATCTTAGGAATTCTTAGTTTGTTGATATGTATGGTTGATATCAAATAGGAAACCTCATTCTTACTTCGCAATATAGCATTGCCCAAAGAACATGATGAAGATTATTTTTTTAGGTTATGAAATGAGGCATTTGTCTCTCGGCAAGGATGAACGAGTAACGAGTAGAGATAGAATTGGAAACGAGTTAGCGAGAACGGCGAGCGAGTGCGTATAGTTCCAAATTCCAATGGTGCTGTTACGAGTGTTAACAGTCAGTGCCACAGACAGTGCCGGCAGTATGAACAGTCAGCGCTCAACTATTCGTATATTATGCATCTCTTTTGTTTATACGCAATGTATTGTATATATCAATTATTCGTTTCTTGAGCTATGAAATAGCCGATAGTTAGTCGTTTTCTCGTTGGCGGTGGGACAAGCCTTGCCGTGCCTTATTGGCCTTACTGGTGGTTGGTAGTTTCGCATCATTTCAGTTGCAGTTATTGTTTTTTTTTTTAAGAATCTAGTCATATATTTTCTGATTTTGTAACTTGTCGAATTAAGAGATTAATTCCTATGATCATGATCCTGTATTAAATATTCTGTTTTTTGGTTTAATCACAATAGAGGTATTATTTGAAGTTTTAATCTATGCTGGAGGCTTGTAGCGACCCGCGAAGCGGCGACCGTCGCGCTGTTACCGTCGCGGGTCGCGGAATGCTCATGAATATTGATTCTGAACATAGATATTCCCACATATCTATGTTCAGAGTCTTCTGATATTACTTGATAAAGTATAGAATGAAAATGTTTGCTAAATACAGATAAATGAGATTTTAATGGCTAATTATTCGTAAATATAATATGTATCTACACGTAGGTATAGTTAGTTGGATATGGTTGCTAATTTGCCACTAGATTTCTATTTACTGTTGACTTTGTATAATGGTCTTCATTATATTCCTACTATACCTGAATCTACCTATACTTTAAGCTCACAGCACATACCACTCGAAACTTATATAGATGTCTCTCAGACGGACATAGGTAGACTGTAAGTAGCTGACCCAACCACAAGTCGAACACACCATCAACCTATGGACATTATTGTAACATATGAACCAGGGAAATAAACAACTTTCTATTCAAAAAATTATATTCTATTACACTTTAAGAAGTATCCTTTAGCTAGCTAAAAGCCAAAAAGATACTCGCGACAATATTTTAAGATATTATATAGTTAAATGTGGTTAAATGCATTGTTCTACTGATAGGTCTTCGCTTTATATTCTTGCTCTGGTGGTAGTTTAATAAGTACTTACATACAAATGATTTCTCCAAGTATATATAATTCATATGTATAACAAAAATGTCATATCTTTCAATAAATGTTTATTAATAATATTGTAGAATGAATATAACAAATTAAGACGATTAACTGTGTAATAAATTGTGCAATAATTAATAATATTAGGAATGGTGCAAATTGTTTAGTCTCATTATGATTTGGGCTAATGTAATTTCATATAAAATCTAGTCATATTACATTTTTCCAATCTTCGAATCGAACCCCAGACTTGATGGACAGTCACGACCACTACTTTGCGTATTGTAAAGTTACAATAGATGCCGATCATTGGATTACGCTGAACCTAAATATTTAGCATTAGGCTCTGTCTTATCTATATTATATGGCCGGTATTAAGGTGAGCACGTAATGTCCAAACCACAGCCAAGTATGTATGGTGCACGGACGAGTGAAAAGCCGCGGTTATTTGTTTGTTAGCATAATTGTTGTTTAATGTATGAAACTATCTGTAAACAATAAATAATGTTCTATGTTCATCGTTTTATTAATTAACATTCCTACAACCTGTTTGAAATTTTAATACTGTCCAAAGGGGGTGGAAGTATTTACATGAAATATTTTCATAACATTGTTTTGATATTCCTTAATAAAAATCATGCTCGCCATACGGTGCCGACGTTGCATTGGATGCACCTCACCATCATCTCACCTGATGATTGTTACTATCTGGTCGGGTCTGGGTGTCTTTGTGTATGTGAACTTGTATGTTTTTAAACGCACCCACGACACAGGAGAAAATACTAATGTGGGGCAACGTTTAAAAAAAAATATTCTGACCTATTTATTCAATTTAAAAAAGAAGGATACAATTATCACCTTTCTTACTCTTACCTACTAGTCTAGGTATTTACCTATAAATTGAGTCTGAAAAAACAAAATAATAATAATCATCATCCTCAACATCCACTTCTGGACTATGGATCTCCTCTACAAAAGAGTAAGTATATTGGAAACCAACATGTCCTGTCGGCGGGCGGCTGTACTGGCTATATTTTACCGGGACGCCATGGCGGCCGACGCCATCGCATCCGCCTGTGGGCTCTGAGGTCTTGTATATTTGCACCACACACACCACACTGCGACAGCATCGAAGATCAAAATAGACCTCTAATACTGCCGTCCGCAGATTGGTTTCGCAACCAGGCAGACACTAGGTGAGTAACTTTCTATAGTGCTGACCACATTTTGTTGGTTGCGGTGACTGGTTGCGCCCCATGGAGTCCCATTCAAATATAGCCCTTAATGTAATGACGGGTCCGGAGATCGCAGTTTGTTCAACAGGATCTGAGGCCTTAGTACGAGTTTGATTAACGTTTAAAGTATTCGAAACGAGTATGCGTTCTGCGCTCTGATTGGCCGGCTCGAATGAAAGAACCAATCAGAGCGCCGAACGCGTACTCGTTTCGAATACTTTAAACGTAAAACAAACTCGTACTAAGGCCTCAGGTTTATTAGAGCGCTGATGATCGGTTTCTATTAAATATGTAGTTCCTTAGTCGACCTGCACCACATTCGCTAGTAAGAATAGAAAGTCACAAATATGTCTATTTATGTATGTTGCCGTCATCACACAGCGCACCAAACCTTACAGTATCCAAAAAGCAAACACATATCCTGATAATAATCTATAAATGCGAAATTTGAAGAAAGATAGTAGACGTATGTTTGTTACTATTTCACGCAAAAACTACTGGATATATTTTAATTACATTTGGTATAGATAGACAGAGATAGATTATAATCTGGAATAAAACATAGGGTAGGTACATTTTATCCCGAGAGGGCGATTGAAGCCGCTGGCAGAAGCTAGTATATAAATTTAGTTAATAATAAGTATGTACTTACTAATATTATAAATCGGAAAGTGAGTTTGTTTGTTTGTTTGTTTGTTTGTTCCACTTTCACGCCGTAACTACTAAACCGATTGCTTTGAATTTTGCAGACACAAAGTTAGAAGTCTGGATTAAATAATAGGGTACTTTTTATTCCGGAAAAAAATTATATTCTCGAGGAAAAACGAAATCATTGGTATAGATGGCGCTGTGTGTATATGTCACATAGGCTACTTTTTATCCTTTTGTGACGCGAGCGAAGCCGCGGGTAAAAGCTAGTTTATTAATAGTTCGTTAATATTAATAATATGCTCTTAAGCATTGATAGTTATACTTTGAAAATAGCACTGTAGAGGCACAAGACTTCATCAGGAACCTTCAGTAGGTAAGCAAGCACTAGTACTTACCTGTGTCCTACTTTCGTGTTTTAAATATAAAAAATTAAAAATATAGCCGCAGAATTTCCGACGGTAAAATAACTGGGCCACTAATGGACCTTATAGAGGTAAGCTTGTTGAACATCGAACTAATAATGCTGACACTTTAAAATAAAATTAAGGCAACGGGGTAGCAATAATGAAGGTTAAAACTTCCTCTTTATCAACAAGATCGGGTCTATAGAGGTCTTACTAAACCGATTCTTAACCGCCGCGTTGGTGCCTGGTTTATATAATTCCTAAGTAAAAAAAATGTTTTTTGAAGACAAAATAGAATTTTGAATTATAACCGGTGCATCACATGTCTCCTTGGTACTTACATGTGACTCTCAATAAAATTATAGTAAAACAATGAATTTTATTCAAATGCCACTGTGTCAATCGTACAGTCAAGATTAGACCCAGCCACAACCGGCAGATGCGCAACGTATCGTGGGTTGATTCCAGCACGGAACAAATCTTTATATCGTTCACAAAGTATTGTTCTGGGTTTAGATATAATAAGCACATGAAATTATATGTGTTGCAACCAAAACACGACCAAATCTAAATGTGGTACAACGAATTTTTTTTATTCAAATGCAACTAAGAAACTGCATTAAATAAAACGGATTTAAAAAAGTCGAAGAAGCATTTAATCTCGTTCCTATCACAGAGCCAACAGTTTACATTTACCGGGACTTTGTAAAACATAAAATAAAATGCGGTCTGCGCCTTTAGCAATTTTAAGTAACTAAATAGTTAACCTACCATCAGTGAATCCAATTAACATGCGTAACATAAATAACATTACTCTTTTTAAGCGGCAGGTAGCTTACTAGGGTGACAGAGAGCAATTTGCACATCATTTTTAAATAAATAATACAAGTACCATTTTTCTAGTCATTTGATGAAGATCTCAAGTGTTAGTGGAACATAAAAGACTATTGTCTTACTACTATGTCAGTTTAGACCACCAAAATAACAAATCTTATTTAAATCCATAGATTAGGCCGTATGAAGCAGTGTTTATTTTTTCAAACTCTACAACAACAGTACAATTATTCCCATCTTCCGGTTCAAATTGTATGCAACGCACAATGAAGTTCTCTGCTCATACAACTTCCCCTAAAAGCATCCCAGAATAGACAAACAAAGAAATAATGAGCTGCGATTAAAAAATGACTAGCCGGTCATGAAGGCAACCCCGAAGTCACGCACACAAAGGGTAATCTCGGCAAAGTGGCCCTAAATTAAAATAAAACTGGCCCCCTTGTGACGTCGAACGACATTCGACCAATCACAGCAAGTTTCGTTGATTTACGTCACTTTTGACAGCGCAGTGACATAGTTTTAAAGATGGCACCCCGTTTTAGTTGTGAATGCGGCAGCCGTGCATTGTCTGTTGAATTTTATTATGGGGTATTATTATCACGAACTCCCCCATTCCATTCGGCTATCATGCTATTTTCAATAATAATATTGCAAAAAGATGAGTACCGTATTTTACTTTTTGATACCGCAGTCGTTCGAATCGATAGCGTGATTATTAGTTTAGGTAGTTGAGGAACTTCGTTCTAAATCCATAGTTTCTAATGCTTAAGAGTACTGAACTCTCATTGTGCGATGTAATTTGTAATTTGATTGTACTAGACACTTGTCTAGTACAATCAAACTAGTTGTTACTTTACAACTTATGTGCTCGAAAACATTTATCTCTAATTTTGTAGTTGTATGCATCAACAATTATTATGACTTGATTTGTTTGATATTATTTTATGGAATGAGCCGGTAAACGAGTAGACGGATCACCTGATGGTAAGCGATCGGCGCCGCCCATGGACACCCGGAACACGAAAGGTGTGAAAGTGCGTTTCCGATCTTTAAGGCATTAGAAATTTGCACCTTCTCCATGTGAGAGCCTCCATTTATGAGCTGTTGATGATAAATGGGTAATTCAACCTCCGGTAACCTCAGTCACACGACGAAACACAATGCATGCGTTGTTTCACGTCGATTTTCTGTGAGGCCGTAGTATACCTTCAGTCGAGTCGGCCCATTCGTGCCGTACCATGGCTCTCCCACACTTATGAAATGATGTAGTTTGTATTTATAACGACGCGATATAAAGCCTATTCAGTCTCTTAGTTCGCATGCTATATATCTTTTGCAAAACATGTAGGTACGCTCTAATTTCATTGGGCCACCTATAATACTATGATTTAGTGCAAATAAATGAATTTGAATTAGCATCGTACTTAATTTCATGTTCCCTCCGATATTGTTCTGATGAATATCAGGAGATTCTTTTTTTTTAGCCATGGTCTTCTCACTGCAGGGCGAAGGCCTCCCTACCTTTTTTTAATGGGGGAAAGTCATCGAATGACTGCTCCCGCCTGGGTGAGGCGGGACGGAGTGTCAAACTCTTCTGTCAGACGTTTCTTCTCCTGCACGTCGAGCAGGAGCCCCGGTTACCCGTTAGGTTCTCCCTACCTTAGGAGTACGAAATTCCGTGCGTTTTGGCGTTTTTGCCATACTTATTATTGGAAGCAAGTATAACAGCTCACACATAGGACCCACTTAGTTTTTAGTCAAATTTCCGTGGTGCTTGGCGACTGGGCTTCACCCAGTTGTACAGTCTCTTCTTTGTGCCTTTAGGCTTAATCCATTCTGTCTCCTGCAGTAATTCACCGAGCGAAGTGGAAACCATAGTTTTTTCTTGTTCTCCTGTTATAATATCTTCTGATTCACTTCGTTGCAGGAACCAAGACAAGTTACTCATGTCCCTGGGACGCGCCGGACTTCAGTGTTCTGGTGTTTTCATGGTTGTATCTACTGTAGATCCTGGCTTACAGGAGTTGCAGCGGTTTTGGGGGTTGTGGCGGGCTTGTCCCTACCTTAGGAAATTCCTATTTAACTATAATACTATACAAAAATATTCATGAAATTCTCTCCATCAAGATCATCATCATCATCACCTTTCACTACAGCCTACACTTATAGGCTGTACCCACTGCTGACCATAGGCCTCTTCTCGCACGGAGGAGGTGTGAAGGTATCTGTAACTTTTTTATTTAAAGACTTTTTTTAAGTATTTGAGAAAAAGAACCTCGATGCGGAACCCCAAAACTAAATGTTTAGCGCTCGCACGTTTACAACGATCAAAAACATAAGTAGGTAAGTAATAAAAACCACGT